TCCCTTAAAGTGACACTAAAATGCATTCAAGTAGGGATCGACCGATTATCGGGTCCACTGATAATCGGGGCCTATGTTCCCAAGTTTTTTTCATTATCGGTATCGGCTACATTTACCGATATTACCGTTAATAAACACTGTACGTATTTCCGCCAGTTCTTGAGAAACCGGCAGAAATTCGCACAGTGTATTGCTGTCTGGCCAGCATCCTTCCATCAGCTGATCAAAGGAGCCGGTCAGAAATGTATGTAGGAATAGAGCTGGCAGCCAGTGAGCCGCCTCTGTTCAGTATTCTGACAAAAGCCAGTGGCCGCTGTCAGAATACAGAGAAAATAGCAGATAGCAGGGGAAGTAATAGCCAGCCTGCTGTTGGCTATTTTAAACTGCAATAACCAATAGCAGGCTGGCTAATGTACCCACCCACTGCCTGCTGTCAATCAGCAGAGGAGCTGACCTGAAGGAGAACCTCTCTAGAAGCAGAGCCAGCTGTACCCATTCCTCCAGCCAGTGCTGGAGAAACAGAGGGGGAGGGGGGAATCCTGGTGGGGGCACTGCTCTCTGCAGGGAGAGGATCGAGAAGTCAGCGATCGGTGATGTGTTTGCTGACTTCCTGATCTATAGAGCCGACCTGTGACAGCTTTTTTTGTCACAGGTCCGCTTGAATTATGGGGATGTATTTCACTCACCCCATAATTCACCTTTTTTGAATGTACTTTTAAGATTTAACTTCAGAGTTTATTGTCAGTTTGACCCAGCATGCACAACATAACACTTGTTATTGCAGTGCAAAGATTAACCCTAAGGTTAGTTCAGTTTTGTTAGATTGAGGGTTATGGTATAAAAACTGAACTCTGGGCACAAAAACCATCATTTAAATATAATCCTCAATAGCCACAAAGACCATAAATCCACTTTGTGTGCCCCAAATGCCTGTATAAACCCAGATATTACTTTGTAAAAGTAGAGGTATTGTCATCCTTGTGCTGTACATAGCTTGTGCATTGAACTTCAGGCAATCAGGACAATTAACCCTTCCAGTGGGGCCACCCCTGCACTGCAATGGTTAAGTGTTTTGTTCTAGGGTCTAAAATAAAAAAAACAATATACTGTCCTGATCCTTGGTCCTGCCTTGCTGCTAGAAAGGTCCCTGCAGCCTCTTCCCTCCCAGGCCCCAGCAGGTTTTAGGACCCATGATGTCATTACATCTAATGCAACTGCATTAGACATGACAACTCCAAGGAACATTCCACCACCAGATGCTGAGAAAGGTGAACTGTCACCTCTGCAGGACTGAGGGTCAGGTGAGTAGTTCTTCTTTTGTTCTAGCCCCTAGACCAAAACAATGCAGTACGGGGGTAGCCCCATTGTAAGGGTTCATTTTTCGATTGCCTGGAGTTCTTCTATAATTGCACAAACTGAAGAGAAGCTAATTGGTTACTATGGGCAACTGATCCAGATTGTATCTGCTCCAGTTTCGATGAATCCCCCTCAATGTTGTAAAGCAGGAGATTGATCTCTAGTTCGTTTGATTGTATAAATGTTCTGGTTTTGGGTTCCTAGAACAAAGGGGCCACATCCGGGATCCAGCTAGAACTGAAATGTGCTTTTGGTTCGGCTAGAGAAATCTTTTTAAATACGGAATTTTCTTTTTGTAATTTTACTTTAGTTCTATGTACATAGGGGAACATGTCTCCATATCCCAGAGATTGTGATTAGTTTTATGTAAATACACTGATCTGTCTCTATGATTAGTCAGTGCATGTTACATCTGTTATTTAAACAATGTTACAGCCCCCAGAGAGTAAAGTGTGAGATGTAACAAAGTACATTGCCATGTATATAATGCAGTGTGGTCAGACATAGAAAATGTGGCAACCTGCTGAGAGGAAATCATCTTTTTAAAAAAATCATCTAAAAAAATTAGTTCAGATTTGTTGTTGTTGTTGAAAGCTTGTTAAAAGGAAAGATCTGTTATGTGACAACAGCGAAAATCTGCAAAATGTTGATTCTACCTTTATGTAAACAGTTTAATATGGGATCTGAGGAGAGCAGAGCATCTCCCAAAGGGGATTATAACATAATCCTCTCTCTATAGCTGGAGTGGATTAACTTCACATTCTCAGAGGGGTTTGTATGCTCCTTTTGACTGCAACAAGACGTCCTTCCTCCCGAGCGATGTGTGATCCCAGCCGACAGAGATCCAGCCAGAGCACATACAGGGCTGGGGCTGTCACATTATAACAATCCCACTTGGAATTCATAATCTCACTGTATTATGGCCATGTTCTGCCTTTGTTCGCGTTAAATCCAGACAATGTCATTCTGTAAAATTGAAAATTCTATAGATGTATTTGTAATGGACGCTTCGTATGCGGGGTTTAGAGGTTAGATGTGCTGCCACGATTTCATTCGATCTCATTTCATACGATTGCTGCATTCAGGTGCATCCTCATGTCGCCTGAGCAATATCAGGTAGCCGGATGCAAACATGACTGGTCCGGTCTGAATTGTTTAGGGGAGTCCCCTACTACTAGGGGTAAAGGCTGTCACCCCGATCAGATCACTCTCTTTAACCTGCACTGATAGATGACATCTGGTTGCGTATGGGCAACGTAGACTCTTTCCTCTAATTCTGCACACAGGCTTCATTGTAGCATAATGAGTAAATCTATTAAATGGGGTACTGTATAGTGATGCCACTTATATCTTCCATACTATCAGATTCTGGCCAGTATGAGCCAAGCCTGATCTCTGTTTCTGCATGTAGTTAATACAATTTGAACCCCCTTGTTAAATATGACAGCAGAAGCTGCAAAAATAAATAAATACCACAACTGAACGGCTGACTTGGAAAAGTGAAGCTGGGTGCCCTTTGTTCCTTTCCTATTTGTTTCCTATTTATGTTCCTTTGACTATTTATAGCCCTTACAGGGCGTCTGGGAGAGCTGGATCAGGAATTGTATATTAGCAGTATGGTTCATGGCAGGGGTAGGGCAGAGAGGAGGGATGGGCTCATCAGTCACCAATGCTGCCACCTTTGTCCTTATGTGTGTTTACCATAGACAGGAAATCCCAGTATCTGCAGTCTCCCCCTTTCCTCATATTCTGCATGCAGTGTGACAGCTGCCTGGCAGTAAATAGCCAGTATGTGGTTAGACGATGATGCCAGTGGCGCCATGTTATATGCTGGCACTTGTCTCTTCATGCCACTGTCATCCAGTGTCACTCCTCACGTATCTCATACAGCAGATGGGGAGGAGGCTGGATAATAGCCTCTACCATCTCACTCCAGAGTACAGTATATTGCATGTCTTGTTAGCATCACCTGTTCTGTACCAGTGTCACCCAGTTCTGTAACCATGACATGCAGCACGTGTGCTTGCTGTCTTGTAGATCCCATTGTACCTATGTATCCAGAAAACAGAACAGTGATTCTAACATTAACCAATTATTTCTGATAACCAGGTTTATCACAGGGATAATCGGACTGGATCCCAGTAGGGGGGAATTATCCCTACTGGGTGGCACTGCTCCACTTGTGTAAATTTAGAGAAGTACCACAGTACCACTTATACCTCTACCTGTACACCCCAAATATGAAGAGCTGGATTTATTTACAATAATTTTCTTTAATTTCAATGTAATAGTTCCACAGTGTTTTACTAGGATGCATTTGCTTTATTACATTGTCCTATTCGGCTTATACTACCCTGTCACATCCCCCCCTCCCTTATATCCTGGGTACAGATACTGGGTAAAGTCTAATTTGATGGACAGCTAAACCTAAATGGAGTGAGTGTTACTTATAACATTCACAAGTGTCTGGGCACAATATGCATTCGGCGTTTATGCCACGTTGTAACTGCCCTATGATAGGCAAAATGAAGCACCGCAATGACTCTTGGTTGTTTTCTTGTCTGTGAATCCTAGACAGGTCAGCTTTATGTCGGGTAATACCCCGCAGTTACTATGTACTGAAATTTAAATATATTTCTATGATTGCTATGAAAGGATATTTACATAAAATTGAGTAAATAATTCATTGTTAGTGGCCAATACTTTATGATAGTTTAATCAAGTACTATATAGATGGGTTACTTATATAACAATGTACTAATCTCAGATAAATATACATGTGACATACTAGCAACCTGTATGTTGTAATGTAAAATTAACTAATCAATTTGCATGCACTGCACTTCACTGTATGGGGTTCAGTGTCCTCTCCTCTGCTATATAATCAGCAAAAATATATATTTTATGATAGATATACACACACCCACACAGTATCTGTGTGTGTTTTATATATATATAT